ATCTTGTTCTGTGGTGGAAGGCTAGTTTGATGCATACTGAATTATGTCGCTCACGATTTTTTTTTGCAACTCCAAACTACTTATTTACTCATTCTACTCTACAAACTATTACAAACTACTAAACTATTATACAGACAACTTTTTACTCTACAAAGTTGTGGTGTACTTCGGCTTGGTGGGCGCACCAGAATGGTACTCAGCGAGGTTTGTATAAGCCGCCCTGTTTGTAAATTCCTGTACTTCAAGTGGTTCACCTGTACCATTTCGTAGCTTTCCAAGAGTTTATTAGTGTTAAGGAGGATATACTGGAAAAAATGCAAAGTGCCTCTTCGAAGCTGATCAGCGCCTTTGTATCTTTCTGAATGGGTTATGCGACGCTGTAAATTTCGAGGCCTCATGCAGTATTCCTAACTCCCCTTTTGATCTTCCAGAAGCCTAATACCCAGTGCCGATTCACAGCCGTTTCGAAGCGTTCGGGACGGCTCAACAAGCACGAAAGTATTTTGCTGTCTATGGATGCACAGCGAGCGTATGATCAACAGGTAAACTTTGAAATAATTGTTTTTCTTGAACGCTTATCTCGTTTTGGTGGTTTCCCGAACTCGGTGAGGTCAAACAAACCCGCTGATAGTGATTCATATGCGTTGTTTGTGTAGCCGCCAATGTATTGTTTCGTTAACCCTTCTGCTCAGATTGCTTCGACTTCTCAAGTTCCGTATCCGAAACCAGAAATGATGCAGCAGTACCCGCCGGCTTGTAGACAAAGCATGTAAGTTTTTGCGCCGTGAGCAATTTCACACTGCAAAGCCGTTTGATGGAAATTTTTCTCGGCGCGTTTCGGCGACAGGGGAAAGGGGCATTTTTCATTTTGCTGCTTCCCATCAACATTTCGGGCCATCACAGGTCTGACTAGAGAAGGCTTCATACTTTGTGTCAGCGAGCACCAGCGTTTCGAGCGCGCTAGGAAAGTACAGATGTTGATCTAGTGAACGCCAGCGTCCGTCAGCGTTCACCAGCGTTCAGGAGTGGAGAGTATGGGAAAGAAGGAAGGTCAGACAGCTGGATTAGGCGTCGAGAAATTGCAACGTGTGCAACCGCACTGTGCAACTGCTGAAACACGGAATCATGCAATCTTGACGTACGGTGTAGTTGCACACGCCGCAATTTCACAACGCCTTATCTATCTGTGTTCTACCCTCCTAATTCCCCGCACTCTCCACTCCAGGACGCTGGTGGACGATAGCGGACGTTGGCCATCGCTAGATCGATACCTTATACTTTCCTAGTCGCTCGAAACGCTTGTGGTCGCTGGTGGACGCTGACGCAACGCAACCTGAGACTTGTTAACCAGAACTAGTGAAGCAGTGAAGGTGCAAAATGAACTTTGTCGCCAAACTTCACCTTTTCTTCCTTCTTTTTTTCGTTCCTGACGTCATAATAATTTAGGCCGCACATGTATCCTCCATGTTATCCTCGATCGCCGTCTCGAGTTCCGCAAACAGATCACACTAGTCAGTGGCTGAGTGGCCCTTACAATGCACTGTACGCCAACTCACCTGTAAGTCCTTTTTGTATCTCACCTTTAAGAAGTCAGTAAATTGGTTTCTTAACGATTAGTTGTTATTTAGGTCCCCTCAGCTGCACCATCTGTAATGTCTCATGTGAGCATGCAAGATGACCTGGTTTCTGTGATGAGCGTGCAAACAACGCTGAACGCCAGCGCAGCACCTTGCCCGCAAGATTCTCACCTAACCGAATTGGTATGGAATCATTCATCTTGCATGATCTTATACTTTCAATATTGATACTCTCTACTAATGGATTTTGCAAGGCACGGAGTACGTTGAGTTGTCCACTAAGAGGACAAATTTGTTGCTAGAACAAGGAGGGGTCGTGTTTACCTTGGAGAAAGATGTTTCCGGTTTTTGACTTTTTCCCGCTTCACGTGCGCTGTACATACGTCATCTCCCCGAATACTAATTGCCGTGCAGAACTGCTACAGTTGTTGTATTTACATTGGCTTGATTCTGGTATTTGGTTTGGAACGTGCTCTCTCCCCTCACAACTTCTCACCCCACTGCTGCTCCAAGCAGTTTTTAGAGAACTTTGAAACTAACTGGAAGTTTGAACTTTGAAGAATTTCAGAATGTGGTAGGTAAGAAGAGGCCTTTGGAATGTACGCGAGAAGGAACATCGAGGGGACGTATTTTGTGAGAATTTTCGCCAAAAGCAAGGTGTGCCTTGATGGGTTAACGTTCTGGCGTGAACCGGCTTCATCAGCGGTGATAATGTGGGAACCTTTTCGAATAAATAACCCAATAGTCATTTTAAACTAGAGGAAGGACATTTTGTGAGAATTTTCGCCTACAGCAAGATGTGCATCGAAGGAGGGCGGAGGGTATGGAACTGAAGCTCTACCAGACCCTCCAAGACTGAAGATTGTAAAAAAAACTCACCTTTAATTTAAAATATAAAACATTTTCAGATGAAAAAATAAATAAAAATATCCCCTGAACAATCCCCTGGATGCGGCGAGTATTTTATTTCCATTCAAGACCGTAGAGGCGTATTGAACAGGACGTGGCCCATACAATAACTTGACAGAGGCCAGTCGATATAAGTCGGTGTTGTTATCCTCCCAGACGAATCTGGTACCAGATTACCGTTCCCTGAGGGTAGAACGCGTGGATGTCTCGGGTGGAAGCCGTTTCACGATTTGCCCCCCGAACCGAGGCACGATAAGCATGCCACTTGCTACTACACAACCTCCACCTCCTCATTTCCACTACGGTTTTAAGTTCTTTCTTTTTAGCGGCCACAATCACAGTTCTCATCGTCTGCGTCAACGCCGCCATGTACAGAAAACGTGGATCCCGCTACGATCCAAGAAGTCCGGAGAAATATTGCGTATTCTATAAATAATTTTTTTAGTAACGAGGTAAGTTCTTAGCTTGGGTGACTATTACTCTTAATTAAAGATCTCTAATACTTCCTTTTGCACTTTTAGCAGTTCAAAATCATCCAGTGTGTCTGTCATTATGCTCAA